TGACTACCTTCGAACTTGATCAACTTTCCACCGTTCTTCGTGTATCTTTGAGACACTCGGAACAAGTGAAACCGGTCTACGCTGAAAAGCCGCTTTACAGCTGTTCCATCCTCCTTGGGAATCAGGGCAGTGCGTATCTTAGTCAGGAGACTCGAACCTACGGGCATCCCGGCCACTAGTTTGGGAACTCATCCGTTCAGCCACGAATGGCTGCTAATCGTCTTGATTGACTCGCATTTGGGCAGGGCAAGGCACCGCTCTTTTGCGAGAACAAATATCCGCAAGAATTCCCGAATCTCTTCATACTACCGACAATTTATGAGTAACTCAAACGAGGAATAAAATTCACCTGATGAGTGGAACTCGCTGCTCGAGGAGACAATGAGCACATGTGACCATTTGGTGCGGATTCCGTGACTGAGGATGGACGTTGGATTTTTGTCGGCCTCAGACGTACATGATTGGCTGAGTTCAAAAAATCGTGCGTTGCTTTCACACTAGGTTTGAATGAGAGGCTGGGAGATTTTCCGCTGTCAAAAAAAGTCAATATTTGTCATCAAAGGAATACTCTGCTAGCCACGTTTGCAGCAAAAATTGCCCGGTGATTAGTACTAAAGACAGTAAACTGAAGCACAGTATCTCTCATGGGTATGTATATCCGGCAGCTTGAAAAAATCGTTTGCCAACTCTCCGTGTCACGAACAACTCGTGTTGCAGGTGTAGTTGTTAACTTACCAGTCTGTCTTCTTGATAATTCTTGGTTCTTCTGGATGAGAACATGCTTGGAGTGACAGATTATTGATCGTTTTATCGACTTAATTGCGAAATATTCAAAGTGCGCGGCCCTCACGTTTTCTAAATAGTAACGACTCAGATGTTTTGAGCCGCTGTTTGTCTCACTGCCGCATTCCGGCCTCCGAACATGTCACCTTGTTGGCAACGTGAGTCCACGTGCATCGCGATCAGGACGGTGGCGAGCTGACAAACCCATTTCGGACAGTATTTGGACGAAGCGCTTGGGTGCTGTCGGTTCTACGCGCTTTCCAGGATGGGGACCGCGTGATCCGCGCTTCGCTTGGTTGTAGACACTAAAAGATATGGCTGTCAACCGATGTCGGTGGCGATCTTGTTGTACATTTCTATCCAGATTACCTGATTGAATTTCTCGGTGGCGATCTGCCTCGGAATGATTGTGGTAAGCCAGCACTAAATCCCTTTCTCGTCCACCTATACTCTTTTCTTTACAATAAGGCTTTCAAATAAATCATGGTTGTACGGCGGTGAAGCATCGGTGTTGAACACTGATATCATGCTGTCGATGATGATGACGATGATGATGATGATGATGACGATGAGGATGATGATGATGAGGATGATGATGATGATGAGTATTTGAACGCTCACTTCTTGATGAGTACCTTTGTTGGTGGAGGAAAGTTGCCTGAGTCACTATGAGAGGCCGGTGGACGATATTGTGCAAAAATGTATTCTGGGGTCGCACCAGCAACGGCTGAGACTCGTTTAAAGTCACCTCTCAAGGTAACACCAAACGACCGTCGGTTACCGGAGGCTCTACATATATCTCTTGCCAGGCAATCAGCTAAGAATGAAAGAAAGAAGGCCTTCGCTGCGGAGTTGTTTATTCGAAACAAACTAGTGGACAGGAGAGTAAAACTCTCATATGCATCTTATTTACAAAACTGAATATCCATCTTCTACTTAAACGAGCCTTCCTGGACTTTCCCGGATATTCATTGGCTTTTGCTCAAATCCAAGCAAATGCTACAAAGCGACTGCACAAATTCCATAATAGATCTCACTTTTCAAGAGATGCAAAGCGGATTTATGAGAAAACATACTACTCGCATGCAACTTTCATCAGTAGTATCACCGTTACACCACTGATGAACCATTCCGAAGCTAATGGTCCGGTAAGGATATACTCCACCAATTTTAACAGTTGTTTCAGGGATAAACCAAGAAAACAGTGGGTGAAATACACTCAGTTCCAAAGTGACTTGGTGGTAGGAGAGACTAAAACACAAGGTAGCTTTATAAATCTGTCAGTAAAACGATTTGTGAATCAGTGGGTCTCGTCAATTGAAGATTTCTGATGAGTTTTCAGAAACCTAAATAAAAAAGGATGCAAGCATAACACACCACACATAAGGTTTCTCAAGTTTCTTAGAAAGCCCACGATCGGTTCGCCCTTCCACTTTGGGCTCATCAGGTAGGTGCAATTCCCGAGTTTCCGTCAAACTTATGTTTTACTTGAAGCCAAATTGCACGAAATTAGCGAAATACACTCATTTACAAAAAAGAAGTCTTCAGCTCAAGGTCAGCGATAGTCCGAAACTAAACCGGTCGCGGGTGGTCGAAGAATTTCCAGCAACCTTATGAGTAGTGCATTACGAATATACATGTCTCGCGATATTTCCAATATCGTAGAAACGGCGGCCTGGTGCAGCACATTCAATCGCTTGGGTCCCAGGTGAATCTCCCAGAAAGCCAAATGAGTGTATTTCGCTAAAAAATAGGATCGAATATTTTGGGGCTCGCCTGCCGCTTATCCCTCACCAAATAGTGTATAGCGCGTGCTGAATCATAGCAATATTTTGTTCAGGAGCTTATTTCTGCAAACTGCAAGTTTTTGTATAGGAAACCTAGTTCTTATATATTCCTAGCTTTCAAATTTCATTTTTTTAGATAAGCGTCTCATCGAATTGTATGATCTGGTATTGAGACCAGATAAATTTGAATGTGACCCGTATTGGATGCTGTCTATGGCACAGGCAGTCGAATCGTTTTGCAACAAGCCTAAGATGCTCGGCTGCGTTCAACTGAGTGCATGTCTCCTCGTTTGAACTTTGCTCATGGTAGTCGCAAGTTCCTGACGCGTATCTGCGGCCCCGGAAACGTCGTTGGAGTCGCATGAAAGCATTGGTCATCGCCCACAAGGATCCAGGACCTCAAAATAGCTGTCCACAACCCACGGTTCACACAAAAGTCTGTTGTCTACCGTATACATACTCGTGGGAAAAACTCACCACATTCAGTTGCGTTCATTTTAACCAAGTGTTTGTTCAAATTCCATCTTAGAGGCGATTCACAAACACGTGTGCATTTTCCGCACAAGTGCAACCTTATTAAGCTCTCAAACTCTCAGGCTCTGCCTTGTTTGGACATCGCTAACTGCGGAATTTTGGTCATGTACCCCGTACTCCTTTGCGCTACAGACCACTTTTCTATTAATCCGTAATGTAAATAACAAAAGCAATGTCTTCTTTGAAAAGTTCAAACATCCTCGTAAATTCGACCGAGACATTCATCTGCATGCCACTTTGGTTTTCACAGAAGAGTCATTCAGGACCCAGATGCCCCTCTCATGTCTATTCGTCTTTGAATCTGGCATGGATTGTTCTACTTCACCCCTTAAAGCATATTTTTGGTAACGCTATTACAGAATTCGCAAATTTCCTTAGATGTAGCGACTGTCATCCAGTCGGTCGTGGGTTAGAACCCTGAGAAAGTCTCCCAAGGCGTGCTGCTCAATAGAGGTGAACCAAATTTCTTCTTGTTCTCGTTTTGGATGAATCAGCTGATGTAATTTTTCGTGACCGTCAAAACAGTATTGGAATGAAGTTGCATAATGAATTCCTCATGACATCCAAAGTTTCGTGAACAGAATGAATTCAAATAAACCAGTTCACTTCGTGATATCCACACATCCCAGACAGTTCAGTCAAAGTGACCACAGAACGATATGCAGAAAAGATTCCAGTAGCCTTGTGAGTAGTATTCCGTCAAGGAACTAAGCCACGTGACCGCGAGTATCGTATCAATTGGAACATGAGGCGGCCTTTGTGCAACACATTGAGTTGCATAGAGACATCACAGATGAGAGATTCAGTTGAGTCTTCCGTGAAAACGAGTGTATTTGTAGCAATCAGTAAACTCCAGTTTCAAGTATAACGTAAGGTTGGATGAAGGAAAGCGCGGGGATTACTTCTGCCTGAACAACCCCAAGAAGGGCGAGCCCCGTCATGGGTTTCAAGTGTCTGTGGCGCCAACTGACTGGGCCAATCGATCGACGCACCCAAGTCGTTGTTCGAGGCGTCGGGAAAAACAGACGGCTAGTGCGTATTTTCAGAAAAAAGGATCCCGTAGCCAGTGTAGTAATCAAATGGATATCTTCTTGAACCCGGCCGTGGCGAGAAACTTGGAGTCACGTGTGCTTCGTCGCATTGCGGTGGCTCGTGAAACACTGGCTCGAGAATACTAAGCGAGATTTCGGCCTGGTCGGGGTTCCAGTGACCAAATACTCACACTTGGTCAGGTGCTAGAACAACACTGTGCGTTTAAGCGACCCACAATTCTAGTTTTTCTGGATTTCCAAGGCGCATTGGTTGACCCGTCTGTTCTTCTTGACATGCGTGCCCGCCAAGGAATGCCCCAGAAGATTGTGAACCTAACACGTTCTTTGTATACCCAGACATCCGGATGTGTGAGAGCATGCGGCGAACTGTCCAAGGACGGACACAAAGTGGTGTCCGTCTGGGATGCCCACTGTCCCCATTCGTGTTTAAATTTGTGATCGATGAAATGATGAGACTAACGCTGGAAGGTCTCCAAAACCCTGGTGTTTAAATAGCCTGTGACGCAAGCCTTGTCGATCTGGAGTACGCAGACGACATCGTTCTCATGTTCGAAGAGGAGGGAAAGGCGCAAGTATTCTTGGATGAACTGACCAAAGTCATCCCGTCCTTTGTTATGTGCTTTGCACTCACAAAGTGTAAGGTCATGTAGTCACTGAACACGCGACTTAGAATCCAGGGAGAGATACTGGAAGTTGTGGAGCGCTTTACATATCATGGAAGTTGCATAAGTTCTGATTGTATTGTGATAGATGAGGTCAATGTACGAATCCGCGTTTGCTAATTGGAAACACCTATGGCGTCAGAATGGTTTACCCATGAATCTCAAGAGACGTGTGCGTCAAGCTACACTATGAGCTGTTTTGTTGTATGGCTGTGAGACGCGGTTCCTTCGGGTGGTAGAACTGAGATTTCTTCAGATTTTCTACCACCCTGTCTCAAAACTGGTACATTCCAGTGTTGTCTAATCCGTAACGAGACATTTTGAAAACATTTGTTGGCTTCCTCAAAAGGGACTTCCATCGAACAATGCGTCCAGCGCCAGAAGCTGCGTTGATTAACCCATGCATTGTCCATAGTGAACCGTCGTTTTCCGAAAAGACTGAAGTTTTCCATGGCAGAAGGAGAGAGCTGGTCAACCTGGCAGGGAATATTAAGGAGATTACGAAAAGTCTGGCGCGATTAGTCCTCTAGGATGAAGACCTCCTGGTCCCCATTGTGCCTGGTTACGGACACTGCAAGATATGGTTGCTCGTCAATACCAGCAGCAATTTTGTTGCCTGAATGAGTGCCTGGAGGTGTAGGCACCTCGGAATGATTGTGGTAAGCTAGCACTATGTCCCTTCCTTCTCCACTTTTATTCTTTTCTTCACACTGAGGTTTCCGTGATTTTACGACAGTGAAGCATCGGTGTTGAACACTGATGTCATGCTATCGATGATAATGATGATGATGATGAAGATGACGATGATGGTGATGATGATGATGACGATGATGATGATGATGATGATGATGATGATGATGATGAAGATGACGACGATGATGATTCGGATGATGATGATGATGATGAAACTGCAATTCACTTACGAGATTTTGATCACCAACGTGTTCGAGTTTCCCTCAAGTGGCTTCGACTGTATAGTTCGGTGAGCTTCGTGTTGTTTCTATGAATGTCAGTCGGAATTGGACTACATAACTTGTAATTTTTTTACGATGATCTATGAATTGTATTCGAGGGTCTTCTCCTGACTAGCTTTAAACCGTGTCATGCGGAAGTTCTACAGTTTTGTTCACGGACAAGCATTGTTCCACAAGGTAGGAACTGTACTGAACGGCTAAGGCACGAACGTTCTTACCGGAAGGTCCCTGGTTCGATTACTTCCATCTGGGTTTGGGCAACCGGACGTCCTCTTAGCTCTCGAGCTTCTTTCCAGTGGTTTAATGGCTATCAATTAGGTTATTGTTTGGTTATTTATTTGTTATTTATTCATTTACTAAATACTGAGTTGCAGTCGGAATCATACTTTGCTATGAATAGACGGTAGACAAAACTTGAAGTTCGTGGGTTCCTACTTAGCAAATGCTCCACAAAGACGGGTAAACAAGTAGATAAGACATCTGTCCAAATAAGTCAGTAGCTCGTGAAAATGAAAATCGTACTAGCACCATCTCCCTCCAGGTGAAATTCCAGGAGAGAGAGCTAAGCAGCCACTGCCGTATTAGCCGCTCGTCGACAAACTGTTGGGCGTTCAACCACTGTCCGGAAGGTTGCGGGTAGGAAGCCTCCAAGATTCGTGATTCGAAACAAGAAAGAAACGACTGTACAGTGCTTCGCGGATATTTCAGCATAGATTGGTGTCACCGAAAGGATGGAACCTCAAGTGAAAACTACTCACCAAGTTTGTAATGCGAACTAAAAACTAGGGGAAGCTCAGAGTACTCGATTTACATACTTTATGCTCAGAGCGAATTCGAGACATTCGCTATGCGGTTAGACGTAGTGGTCAAAACAAAACGGAGGCTGAGAGTAAAAGGTGATGAGGTGGGTTGATCACGCAAAACAATGTCTTCTATTGAGCTCAAGCGCGAAGTTAATACCTATCGCCGTTTAGGTGAACAACCGTGAAACTTGCTAGCCTGAGCGTCCCCGAATGCATCGGTTATATTTATGCGCTTCCGAAAAAAAGCTGGTTGCCACTGGCATCATTCATTCACCTGTCTCAAATTGATTGCGCACTGAGTAGACGTTGTGCGCACAAGACACGACACGACACAGCGGCCTTTGTCCCACTTGCGGTCGTTTGAACCATTTGCATAAGACCAGAACAGCTCTGAGCGATCGATACCGCTATCGATTTTCAGCCTTTATGACGCTTAAATGGCGACAACTGTGAGTTATCTAACGCAGATAAATCAACGACCTGTGATAGCTGTCAGATTACTTTTGAAGACTGATTAGCAAAAATTCTTAGACTTTACAATTATACGAATGTTCGTTCCACTCGAGCACGAATCAAGAGGAATGTCATGCTATTCGTGGTCGCGCATTCCACACGTCTGTGTGAATCACTTCGATTCGCATTGTATGAAGACCAAAAATCGATAGATCTTGTTGCGTCCACGATTGACCAATCGGAATGTGCCTGGCTGTTGACAGAACAAGAGGAATCATAAGGATCGGTGCTCGGTACCGATGCCGAAACGACAATGAGGAGTGTCTGGCTGTCATGCGTTTTGTGTGTGTTTTATCGGTGAAAATCGATCAAACCAATACCACTTCGTCACCAGATATCCTGAAATGGTGTTCACAAAAAATTCTATCCTGTGAATGCCACGTAAGCTGAGTACACTCACTTGGGCACGACTAGTTGGCAGAAATTAAACCCGTCTCAAATTTCCCCTGTTTGAGTAATAAGTTGTTCAAAACACAGATTGAAAGATGAGTTTCTATGATTCTAATGAGAATGGCATTCAGTGAGTAGTCAAGGTACGGAACCCGTGGAATCCCGCCGAAATCACCTTGAAATTGTAACCTTGAAATGGATGTGTAGACAACTTCCGGGCATACAATCTGATTGGTTGATATTCAGCGGAACTAGTATGGCGCCAGTTGATCGATCTTACGTGAGCAGCGTTTGCCCAGTGCTATGGGTTTCCTACTAAGCTTGATTGATATAGATTTTTGTTGACTCACAGTATGGCACAAATGTGATCAGTTGTTTCAGCAAGACGTGTTCGTTTTTCTTACCTCTATTTCACAGAATGTGTGAAACATAAAAACGAAGAAAACGTGTTCTACCAACCACTTGTCTGTGAATTAAAAAGTATCGCTGGCAAAAGCTGAACATATCTTGCTCTTGGAGGCATTACCCGCTGTCAAGTTCTTCTAAGGGCTCTGAAAGGGCGATACTTTTCGAGCTAAACTGTTTCAGTCAGTTGAAAGTTTCAAAAATGTGGCAAAATACTCATGGTGTCAGCGAATGAGCCTTCCTTAAAGAGTCGTTCGTAACGGCTAGAACTTATTCTTCCTTAGTTTTATCGATCATCAGTCAGGATCGCATACGATAGCAGTTAAGTGTGCCGCGTTACATCATGAGTTGAAATAACGTGACTTTCGGTGTTAATCAACTTTCACCATCGAATTTACTTTTTGACGTGTGTGAAACTAATCTGTGGCGTGATTCGAAACCAAAACCAGTAAAAACTGATACGTCACTCTCCATTCTTAAACGTGAGGACTGGCACACACACGTGCGGAAAAAGATCGAGTGTATCAGCATGACAAATTTGTGTGAAATTCCATCGTTTGTTCCTCCACAGCGATGTGGGCATTCATGTTAGATGGTGAATTTCGTTCAAAGTTCATGCCATGAGATCGATCGAACAGTGATTAGTGTTCAGTGAAAATCAGCTGAGTCGACGCACATCGCCTTTTTAATGGCGCACAAAGTGCTAATAAGCGGAAACCTATCAGTGAGTAGTGTATTACGTCTATACAATAAATTTGCGATCTCTCGAATATCGTACTAAACGAAGCATGAAGCGTCCCGGTGCTTAGAGACAAAAGATTCAGCCAGGTCCCATATGAGTCTCTCGCAAAACCAAATTTGTTTGCGAATGAGTGTAATTCGTGAAATCTGATTTCCAGCAGAACATAAGGTTGACAGGAACTCGGGGACTGCGCCTACCTGATGAGCTGTCGTGGGCTATTACGTTTAAACAGGAAAATGTTCAACATTCAGTGCACACGAAATATAAAGGTTATTGTGTCTGGACCTGAAAATACATGCGAACGAAAAGGAGAAGTCCTCGGAACGGACTCGCTCCCGTGACCACCTTATGTTTGGTTGTACTGCTGTTCACCAGCTCACTTCATCCCTCCACTTTGAGAAACGTGAGAGTTTGATATGCTTTTCAGAAGACGTCATCTTGCCAGGTTTTCAACCCGTCTTTAATTCAATGGATACCTTATTGAATCGGCCCATTTGGCTGTTCTCCAGTGAGATACTTGGCAATATCTACCTCAGGTCATCAGTTTAGCTGTAAGAACCGCGTGCTTGTCGTACAGAGGTTGTAGCTGCCACAGTTTTGTTCACCAATGATTTGGGAGGACGGGGTGGGTAGCTGAGCACTGGAGGCGGTAACTTAAATAATTGATGCACAAATGCACAGCTGTCAGTGAACCTATCTCAGATAACACCGGAAGGTCCGTGGTTCGAACTCGACCTCTGCCTCTCGACTTCCCCTGTCTAGGTTTGGGCAAACTGACTGTATCCCAGCCTCGTGCTTCCTTTGAGTGGTGGCATGGCAGCTAGGCACCAAAAGGGCGCTACAGCTGAACGATTTTTTGACGATAAATTGCCTTACAGTCCTGAACTTGTTTGCATATTCACGCCATGGTACCAGGCGTGAAAAACCTTCAGTGATCTCACTGTCAGTCTGTCAGTCCAGACAAAGTGATTTTGAAGGTCAGCCGAGTAACATGTCTTTTCAAATGGGTGCTTTTTTCAAAATGTATTGATCGTAAGGTTGAATTGAGATGAATGTAGCTTTACTCACTGTTTAAAGTGTTGAACGATTCAGTTTTGTCTGTCGATGCCAAGTGGCATGCTCCGCAATACAGAGGAACTTTCAGTTAAAAGTACACCCTGTGAGTGAAGCTAGTCCGTACAAAAAAGCCGAGAGACAATGTACGGCTGAACTTACAACCTTCCGGCTAGTAGTTGAAGACTGAATTGTTCACCCACGAAAGGCTGATCAGCAAGGTTAACTAACACTTAGAATGTAGTGCCACTCATCCCTTAATCGCGGAATTCACATCACGTGGTCACGTGCTGATTGGCCGCTTGAATGATGACTTCTCACACGACGGGTTCGCTTGTCATATGAGTTATTATTCACTCCCTTTCTCTTTGATGGCGAAAAGCTTAGGGACAACTAGTGAAAGGATTCCGATCGTAACCTTGAGCAACTTAACTACGGGATGGCGACTCCGTGAAACCGGAGCTAATCCGCTCGCTGAATTGAAGACGAAAGATGGAAGGTTGCCAGTGGTGAGGAAGAGTGTGTTGACAACCCCGGTTCGGTGAATCCTCTAATCAGGTTCGCTTGTCGGGTTTTTGGTCTCTAACCTGAGCAGGATGTGCTGCCTGGCAGAGCAGCTGACTTGTGTCAAGGACTGCAC